TTTTCTATAATTATTTCACCATTAACTGAAAATATAAAATAATATCCTATCAACATGGAGTATGTGTTTCTGTTCATTACTTTTAATAAGCAGGACAATGAAAATGAAGGATGAAAATTGAAGGATGAAAGTTTTAGCAGTGAAGATAAAGGTATCTTTCTGGAAGATTTGGTTTAGGAATAATATCGGATGCCATCCCAGCAGTGAAGCATTTATGCCAAAAAAAATCATGTGCATTAGATTTGTCACAATAAATCCTGATAGCTCTTCATCATCAGTTTTTCTGTCTTTTCTGCTTTCTCTTCTTCGTATTAGTTACCCAGGTAGCTGCTCTGAGCTAGATACAAGATATTAGACCGGAATCTCCTCAATGAATTCAGTGCTTGACTGATTGTTTTGATAGAAACTGGTCTGTTGTTAGATACAGCTTTATCCTGACCTTTATCCTGGTTCAATGTTGTCTAATGTCTCTTATCTGTTCCCTTTAAATTGTAAGGCTGTTGGCAGGGGTGGCTTCAAAATTTTTAGCAACTGGTTCTCTGTCTGGTTGCTGGGTGGGTATGGCCATGGTGTGCCTCCTGCACCATGGTGGGTGGGGGCATTTTCACCCTCCCTGGGTTTCAGAGGATTTCTTCAAGCCGGAAGGGTGAAAACAGCCTCCCCGTGCTCCGGAGGTCCTCAGGAGGCCTGAAACAGGCCCATTTCTGGCCTTCTAGAATCTCTGGGAGGCCCATTTTTCACCCTCCCTGAGCCTCCACAAGGGCCCTGGGACCTGGGATCCAAAATAGGCTGTGTGGAGACTCCTGGGAGGGGCAGGGTGGGTGGGGCAGGGCCAGCCAGGGATGGGCCAGCCATTAAAAATGATAAAATTAGCTACGGGTTCACCCGAACCAGGTGAACTGGTAGCATCTCATCCCTACCTGTTGGACTGTTCCCTTTAAATTATAAGGCCAGCCAAAAATAGAAATTTAAATACAGACATGATCAAAAGGTGATTTAAAGGAATTGTATCATTTTTATCTTTTAAAGGTATGGAATTATAGTTAATGCTATAATTCTGTTAAAAGGTGGCATTCTAATTCTGCAGTGTATAATTACCGCTTATATTAGTATGATTTAATAATAACACTTATAACAATAATAATTACTACTTCTATAGTATTTTGGAATATTCTGAAGACCTTGGTACATTATTTTATTGTAATCCATGCAATAGCCATGCAAAGAAGATTGTAAATATTATATATTACAAATGAGTCTTACTAAGTACTTAATTCTCATGTTAGATATGAAAGTGAACTAAGGATTTCTTGGTAAATATTTTAATTTCTTATCTCCAGTACTGCACAAGTTCTCCTAAACATATTTATCTATGAATTATGCCTCTTGTACTTTGAGAAGATGAGGGAAAAAAATAAACAATAATCTGTTTAGGTACAAGCTATACACAACAAAAGGGTATAAATTCACTCATGCCTATTTAAAAAAAACAAAACCCTGACCTTATTTCAAACTTTGTACTAATTTTGTAAGTCTGCAGGAATACCCTTAGATAGATAGATATTCCAGGGTTAAAGATAAACCATATATTTTTATGATGCCCTTTAAATCTGGCACATTTTTAGTCGTTTGATAATTGTGTTGCTTCTTAAATTGTCCTTGAAGTGCCAAAAAGACCTCTAACAGTGCTGATTAGACCTCTAACAGTGCTGATTAGACTGAATTTAATTTCCCTGATTTAGACATTAAATAGGAGCTGCAATTAACCATCACCTACTATCTTTTGGAAGTATATTTTTAGAATGAGCATATACTTTAGTAGCACTAAGCTATTATTCAATGTTTAGTGCTACTTGAAATTTACTGAAGGCTCTAGCTAAATACTGCAATTATATCCCTTGATTTATCTAGAAAAGGCCTTTCTCTTCCTTGGGCTCTGGTTCCCATTCATATCTGCTGGCTGGGGAGAATTGTAAGCCACAATTTCCTAAAAGCATGGGTTCAGATTTTATTTTTTATTTTATTTTTTTCATTTTCAGTGAACCATTTCCATATTAATCCATTTGCAGAGGAAATAAACTCTAAACAAGTATGTCAGACTTAACATAATATAAGTAGTCCTTGGTTTTTGACCAGAACTGATCCCAAAATTTCTGTAGATAAGTGAGACCTTTGTTAATTTAAGGGAGTTTTGTGCCATTTTCCGACCTTTCTTGCCACAGCTGTTAAGTCGGAAGGTCGCAAAAGGGGATCACATGATCCAGGGACACTGCAACCGTCATAAATATGAGTCAAATGCCAAGCATCTGAATTTTGATCATGTGACCATGGGGGGATGCTACAACAGATGGATGCAAGTGTGAAAAATGATAGTAAATCCCCTTTTCAGTGCCATTGTAACTTTGAACAGTCACTGTTGTAAGTCAAGGACTACAAGGACTACCTGCACCATATCTAAAGAACATTTGTGCTACAACATTTCACCATTTTGATCTTTTTAAAGAAGGACTCGAGGCTGGCTTAAAGCCACAAAGTTAGTGTGAAATCTCTCACATAAGCAAAGAATTACGGTAAATAATGCAGGAATAAGCTCACTTTGAACATGCAGAAGATATTTTGAATGGTTTTAGATTAACAAATTAACAGAGTTGGAAGGGACCTTGTAGGTCATCTAGTCCAACCTGCCACCCAAGCATAAGTGTAGGACTTTACTTTTCTCTACATTGAATTTCATTTTGTTAGATAGGGCCCAGTGTTCAAGTCTGTCAAAATCCATCTGGATTTTGAGAGTATCATCTAAAGTGCTTCAGAATGTCTGAAATGTCTGGAACCCACATTATATATCTGATATTAACACAGTTGAGAAAGTCTAGAAATATTTCACAATTATACCTATTATCTTGTAACCAATTAACAAAAACAAATAAATAAAATAAATAAATAAAATGTGGCTGCTATGATAGGTGGTAAACCCCAAAGAAGTCATTAAACAGAAAACAAACTGATGTTATTGCTACCGATTGTGTCCTACACTGCATCCAACAGAAGGGTTTTTTTGTACCCTAATGTTTATTTTAAAACCTGTTTCTGAGCAGATGAGTTTCCAACACTGCTGTACTGCAGCCACTTATCACTTTGATGTCTTTAAAATGTCAGCGTGGCCCAACGTGAGTGTTCTCAGGTATAAAAATGATGGGCTCTGCTGCTTTGCTTTGTCATACACCAGCTTCTCATTTTTAAAAATGAGAAACTAAAGAAACTCGAAGACAGTCCATAAATGTCTCTTTTGGCACTGACAGACTTTTTACTAAAGCCCTGTCCAAAAGAGACATTTATGGTCCATTGTTGTTCAGGGACATTAAGTTGCCTACACATATATGCATTTACACTTCTAAATTGTTCTTCCTTTTAGAAAGTTAGTTTGGGCTGCCTAATTATCGTTATCTTCTTCGTCTTTTAATGACTCCATAATCCCTTGGAGTCTGGGCAACTGAATAGAGCTTAGCAGAGTGTTTAATGGCTGGATGTCCTTCCTGCAGCCAATGTGGAGCTTTGTACACTGAAGATGACATTTATTTTCATTGTATGAGATGCAATGACAATAAAGTAAACTAACTAACTTGTTCAGCAGATATATTCTCATTGTGCCCAGAGAGAGAAATATCTGCCTTTACCCAGGATCGAACTCACAGCCTCCTGATTGTGAGGCAAGAGCTCCACCTCTAGGCCAATACACCACTCTTAGGCTGCCTAATTATCTTCAACCAAAATTCTGGCATCCAGTTCTGACTATTTTCATGCATGAGGTCAGTCCGAGGAAGCCTAACCCTGGGGTATTCTAGACTTTCTATGAAAGCAGATATATCTAAATCAGTCCTCGGTCAAATAATTATTGCGACAGCGCTAGCAAAAACAACTGTTGGTCTTTTTTTTAACCCTTTAGCATACTTCTAGCAGCTTTTGACATGATACTTATATCCAATATTGTCAACTCATACCTGAACAAAACTTTAAATGGAAAGATGGGAAAGGAAGACCTGCTTTCAAAGGAAGAACTAACACACATGTAAGGTCAATTGCTTGAGTGAGGTGATTTTATTTTTGTTTTGTTTTTTTAATGATGAAACCTTGGAAACTTCAGGTAAGTAAGAATAGCACCAGAGAAATTTAAGTATTTTTCTCATTAGAATAGACCTGACAGATATCACCTAGGGTGCTTTCTGCATTTCAGAAAAAGCCTGAAGCACTCTAATTTTAATTTGAGATGTAATTAATCAGTTTTAGAAGCTTATTTTTAGTTAGAGTGACAAAGAGAGGAATTATTTTTCCCCTACCCATTACCATTTCGTAGCCCATTCTTCTCAGTTCATATTAATTTGTACCTGGTTTCCTTTTTAATTTTTCAAGTGCTCCTATCATTAGATTTTGAAGGTTTATCCATGCAATTGGTCTCAAGGTGTGACTCTGTCTGGTATACATACTTGTTTCAAATTCTCAATTCTTTTCACGTATTTACTATAAGTGCCCTTGCTGTTAATGTTTTCCACTTCTAAATTTCTTCCTGATGACAGGGGAGCTATTGTTATAATGTGATTTCTGGGTTCTATCTGATGGAGTAAAATCAGTGGTAGATTGTCTTTTGATAACTTATTGTCCTTTTTCTTGGCAGGTGTTACTTAATGAACACCGCAGTCTGTCAGGATTTGGTCTCATACTACGAGCATTCAAGGAAAGCAAACCAGGGATAATTAAATTCCGTTTCAAATTGTTTATTTCGAAATAAACTAGTGCCTAAAAATTTCCCCTCACAAATTAGCCCTTTAGGACATGTCAGGAATGTAGCTAGCAAACAGTTGCAATGAATATTAAGTTAATGTGGCTTCTGGGGATGGTTGCTTAACGGTGAGCCACAATACCTTTCTCCAGATAAGACCAAATCAGTTTTGTATGTGTTCTATTTGGTAATTAGCATTCTGATGAGTTTTTTTTAATGTTCCCAGATATCCGTGGAATACAAGAGTTTTTGGACAAAGTATCTCAACAGGGAATGGATGTAGCACTTCAAAAAGTGGAGAACAACATCAATAAAATGATCACAGGACTCTTCACCACCATGCGGATTGAAGAACTCAACCGCTATCGAGACACGCTGAGACGGGCCATTTTGGTAATGAACCCTTCGACAGCCAAGTCTTTCATTGCTGAGGTGAGTGAAGGCACCAGCTGACACTTAAAATTCAGTTCCCTTTGAAACTTCTGACAAAGCAACTTGAACTTTTGTGACCAAGAAGGAATTATTATGCAATTTCCCTCCCTTTTATTTGAACAATATGTGTAGGAAAGTATGTATGCATTAATCTGCTCAAACTTTTGAAGTTCAAATCCAATAGTCAGTTGTCAAATACTGTACAGAAATTTTGAAAATTCTAACACATTCTAGAGAACACCAAGTTGAGGAACAAATATATATCATTTATTATTATTTATAACATAAAAATTGTTCTTGAACTAAAACATTATGGGAATGGAGTTTGGAATTTTACCTATTAGCATAATTGTTCACTAATTATTTTCCTGCACAATTTATTCCATTGTTGTGCTGTATTTATTATTGGTTTACTTTCAAATATTGAATTATTAAAGATGCAGGTGTCATTCCTAATTACAATGAGGCCAAAATGATGAAATGTGTGTCATGACATCACAATGCAAATTCTACCTTTTCATCCTTGAGTTGCAGAGTTGGTATCATAACACACTTGCTTTCCCTGCCCATTCCCATGTGTTAATTAGAAATTACTTCTTCCATTAATATCTTCATTAATTTAATGGAAACAGAAGCAGGAACCACTTCATTCAAACTTTTAAGTAGAAGGAAAACATTCATAATTTGCCCATACCAAGTACCAGTGGGATATTGTAACTGACAGCTAACCCATCGGCCACAGTGACACTGGGAACAATGCTAGAACAAAGCACAAATGGCTTTTATGAAATTCTCCCTCAAATTTGTGGTCAAACAAATAAAACTCAAAATGGTGCATTGTCAACCATTTTTCAAAGGGATGTTTTTTCACCTTTTCTTTCTTTTCCTTCTCTATTTTCTTTCTTCACTATACCTCCTTATTTGATTTCCTAACATTTATATTGCTGTTCTCTTGTTAAATTTTCTTCAGAAAAATTATAGTAAGAAAAATTATGGGCTTTTTGCTGAACAAAAGAAAAAAACGAACTTGTGATTTATGGATTTGATGGTTAGAAAGATTGGCTTATAGAAGAAAGAAATTGCAATGTAAATTTAGAGGGAGAGAGGAAAATATAAATGCATTTATAACAACCCATGTCAAAAAGACCAGAAGTTGCTTCTTGTATAACTTTTCATTTTCTAAATTTTATCTTTCTTAGTATTCTTTCTTATTTTCTTTCCAAATATATATTGCTTTCATTTTGTTAAAAATTATTTTAATAAAAATATATATTTTAAAAAAACAAAAATTACTCAAAGACAAGATTCATCTTATGTTAAGTTATTCTCTAACCACAGTGATTCGTTCCTATCCTTCTCAGTTTTATATTGCTACTCCTTACTCTTGAGCAAAGTAGTACAAAAAGAGAAAAAAACATCATCACTGCCAGTATTATTTTCTGTAAATAAAGATAAAAGAAGAAGAATTAATAGCTCCACTAGTGTATAGTGTATGAACCCTCATGGTGCAGTGGTTAAAATGCAGTATTGCAGGAGAACTCTGTCCACAATCTGGAGTTCAATCCTGACTGGGCTAAAGATAAACTCAGCCTTACATCCTTCTGAGTAAAATGAGGACCCAGATTGTTGGTGGCTATATGCTGACATTGCAAACCACTCAGACAGTGCTGCAAATATAAGTCTATAGGTGCTATTGCTCTACTCTTAAGTGCTATTGCCGTGTTCAAATACCACTTTACTGCAAGATTTAATAGCAAGTACCTGATGCTGACAGGCAGGGATGGGCTTCAAAAATTTTAGCAAAGGGTTCTCTGGCCGGTTGCTGGCTGGGTGTAGCCATGATGTGTGTGGCCTAGTTGGCCTCCTGCACCATCAGGGAGTGTTTTTGCCCTCTCTGGGCTCTGGAGGTTTTCCTGAAACCTCCAGGAGGGCAAAAACAACCTCCCTGGGCTCCAGAGGCTCTCTGGAAGCCACAAACAGGCCCATTTCCGGTCTTCCCAAACTTCTAGGAAGCCTGTTTTTCGCCCCTCCCCGAGCATCCGCATGTGCCCTGTACTTTCCTGCATCCAAAATGGGCCTCGTAGGGACTTCTGGGAGGGGAGGGGCAGGGTGGGAGGGGCCAGCCAGGAGTGGGATTTGGGGGTTCTCCGAACTGCACAGAATATTCGCTAGAGGCTCTCTATGAATCCCCAGCAACCCACCCCTGCTGACGGGTGACTTCAAATAGGATTCAAGCACTTTCCCAGTTATGTTTTAATTGTTCCTGGACTTGTGCTGGTCAGTTCTTAATATCTGTAATTATGAAGCTATTACAACAAAACTATTAATGGGTTAGCAAACAATTTTGTTTAACTTAGTAACCATCATGACTAAAGCAATGGATAATAGAAGGGACTGGAATTGTTCTTTTACTGATCCTTGAAAGGGTGAGCGTATTCTGATGAACATATTGATGTCCATTTAGTATTGATACTTATGAATGTAGTGTTGATACTAAATGGAATCCATCCATTTAGTATTGATACTTACGGATAAATAATCATGGATGGATTCACAGGTAATCATGTGGCACAATCTTGTTCAGGATGTTTAAGCCATGGCAATCTATATTGTGTTTATATAAATAACATCTATTAACACTAATTCTATCGAATTAACTTTTGTCTCAGGAATTGCATACAGGGGTGGGATTCAAACTTTTTAACAACTGGTTATGTGGGTGTGGCAAGGTCGGCGTGGCTAGGTGGGCATGGCCATGTGACTGGGTGGTCGTGGCTTCTTCTTCTTCTTTTTTGGCAGCAGCATCCCCCCCCACGCTCTGGGGTTTTGTTTTGTTTTTTTGCCTCCTGGGCCTCAGGGAAGCCTCCTGTGGGAGCATTTTTGCGGCCCAGGAAGGCAAAAAATAGAGTGCGGGGGGGGGGGTGCGCAGCAGCACCCCGTACATGCCCCCTTTTGCCTCCTGGGCCTCAGGGAATTATCCTGGGCAAAGCAGGTGTCGTTAGAACTGCTGGTCGTGGGGAGGGGGGAAAAGAAATACCTTAAGGAGTGGCTGGGCGGGGGAGAATGCAGTCAGCAATGTGGGGCATGTACATGATGTCGTGCATGTGTGATAAGGACTGACTGGGCAGGGAGGGGAGTGGAGCGGAGGGGCGGGCAGAGAGGGACAGGGTCAGCCAAGGGCATAATTTGCCGGTTCTCCAAACTGCGCAGAATCATAACAACCGGTTCTATAGAACCGGTCCAAACTGGTAGAATCCCACCACTGATTGCATATATTATAAAAGACCAATATACGACATTGAAACCATATATAACCATGTTGGGCATTGTCTCTATTAACAAAACATGTATTTCGAAGCCTTCTTTCTGTATTCTTTTCACCTCTTAAAGTTGCAAAATTGAAATATTTATTGTTTTTCTTTTTCTGCACTCAATATTTTTATGTTAAAGAATTTCAATGAGCTCCCTTGCAACCTTCAGAAGTGAACAGCTACTTAATAAATAAAGTTGTAAATATTCAGTTAAATTACACTTAAAAGAATCTTGTCTAATTCATTTGAAATTATGGGGTGTTTTTTGCATGTATTTGTACTTATTTGAAGAACATAATGTATGTGCATACATTAAGTACAATTTAAACTGCTTTGTAGGATTACAGTATTTACATTTTCAATTGTATTTGCCATATTTCGTGTAGTTAGAATAACAAATTGCCTACACAGAATATTGAACATATATAATGAAATGTAAACCATCCAAATCTATAACATTCCACATTTAAAACAATGAAGTTGGATCACTATTATTTATTTGAATATTTCCACCATCCCATACTAAAATATCTATCTGCAAAGAAATAGAAGAAATGTCTTTATTCTTATTCCTTTCACAACAATTATTTTTAATTTAGCTTTTTACCCCAAAACACTGAATCTTATAATTTTTCCTGTATATGTTGCAAGCACTCTTAGATCTGTTTGCAATATCTTGATTATGTTTTTAGCAAGTGATTAGCTCAAATATATATTAGGATGTGAATTTCTTTCATTTCACAAAGCTGACAGTCTGTCTATATCTATCTATCTATCTATCTATCTCTCTATCTATCTATCTATCTATCTATCTATCTATCTATCTAATCTCTTTCTTTTTATCAGTCCCATCTATTTATCATTCATCTATCTCTCTCTTCCCCTCCATCTCTGTCTCCCTCCATTATCTAACTATCATAAAATTCCATAGTTGTCTTTAACCAGATAATTCTATGTTTAAAATATCTTGTTCTATGTTTTGATTTAGTTTTTATCTTTCTTGGTAGAATAGCCCATGTTAAATGAATGTCCTTTCTTACAATTAGCAGATTGAAAAAGGGATATTGTTATGTGTTTAGATCAAAGGTCTCCAAACTTGGCAACTTTAAGACTTTGTGGGTTTCAACTCCCAGAATTCCTCATAGCCAGCATAGCTGGCTGAGGAATTCTGGGAGTTGAAGTACACAAGTCTTAAAGTTGCCATGTTTAGGGACCCCTGGTTTAGATCTTGTAGCTGTTTTGTATCAGGTGCAGTGGTGGGATTCAAATATTTTTATTACCGGTTCTGTGGGCGTGGCTCGATAGGCGTGGCAGGGGAAAGATACTGTAAAATCTCCAGTCAGAGGTGGTATTTGCTGTTTTTCTGAACTACTCAAAATTTCCGCTACCGGTTCTCCAGAACTGGTCAGAACCTGCTGAATACCACGTCTGATCAGGTGGTTCATGACAGTGATTCTTAAGCATTTCAAGTAGTTACCTTTCATGATATAAAAGATTGGAATACAAGGTTCTGGGGCCAAGGAGATTTTGTTCTACCATCTGCAGCTCTTCCCCTACATTGACCTGTAGTCAAATCCACCCACCCTTTCAACAAAGGTATCAGCATGGTAGGGGCAAGGGGAAGCAAAAATGCAAAAAGAGTGTTGTACTGTTAAGTCACAAGTTGCATACAAGCACTCTCCCCCCCAA